GCGTATGATCTTCAGTTTTCGGCCGGTGTAATTATATTATGTTTGATATGGAGAGGGCTTGTAGATTTTTTTGTTTTTTGACCGGACTTCTATTATCTAAGAACGAGGGGTGTAGATTTTCAATTATATATATTTATAAATCTTAAATATGTAACGTCAAAAAACATGATACAACTTGTTCAAAAAAAAAAAAAAAATGATACCAACTGGGGTTGGTAGTCCATTGTTTTATATTACCGTAATGTGTCATAAATCGCGGATTTCAATTTGAATGTGTGAGTGATTAGGTTGTAAACGACAAAAAACCACGTTGATGAATACTCATTTTTTTTTGTTCAAAAGATAGAATTTCATTCATGTTATCCCGACAATACAAGCATTTGGTTTAGCGTTAGTTTTGCAAGACTATATATCCGCCTTTACATTGACTCGAGGAATACAAATAAAAGTGACTTGTTGAAAGGATTGGGCAAGAGCTTTTATATCTTCGATGATATCATATAAATTCAGAAGAGACGTCCCCGAATTGATGGCGTTGATGAATTGAAATGAATCCGATTCAAATCTCACTTTTTTAAAGCTTTTTTCCCAAGCATAAGTTGCAGCATTTCGCAGAGCTAGTGCCTCGACAATAAGAAGGGGGGGGGGCGCACACATATGAACTAGTGATGCTTTGTTCCATGGTTCTGTGTCCTTGACGCTTGATGGTCCACCCCAATCCAGCTATGTTTTTTCTGATTTCCAGGCTGCGTCGGATTGACAAATACACAAATTTGCTTCTTTGTTCGTGGCCATTTGAGGTTTTCTTCGGTTTGTTTTAGGTGGAGATCTTTGCTGCGTTGAGTGAATACTCATATATTACATTGTTACTATAATATGGGTAACTTTTATTTTTCCAATATGGTGTAGGCTGAGATTCGAGTATTCCATTATGATTAGGTTCGAATCCGCGCTACGAGCGGATATATAATTGTAATTTTTATATATGTTTTAATGGATATTTTAGTGTTGTAATAACTTCAAAATGTATTAGTAATTGT